TAAATATAAGAAAGAAAAATATGTATAATCTGTCCAGATACATATTTCTCAGTTCCAAATCAGATAAAATAGCTGTAACTGAATATAAATATTACAGAACAAATACACACACAGAAATATCACCCTGGACTGAGTTGGATAATAGACCCAAAAATGTCAGGACCAACTTATAGCACTTGGACCCACATCACTGGTAATTAATACGCCAAAGAAGGACTAAAGTGCTGCTCAAAGGAAACCCAAAGAGAACTTTGGATTGTTGGGTTCTCTGTTTAAAATGTGTAACTATGTAAAGTACTATGAGTTGTGAATTGGCGCAATATAAATACAATATAATTGAAATAAATTAACTTTACATATAGATTTTAATGTGTAAATTTGCCTTTTGGCTGCCTCGGATTAACTGCATTTTTCTACCAAATATTTATCTAAATTATTATTTTGATGTGTTTCAGGCAAAGAAAAAATAAAACACCAACAACAGAAAATCGAGAGCCTAAGATAATGTCTGAAAACAAGTAGGATGAGGTTTAACTTATTAACTTCTACCTGCTACCTGTCTGTACATTATTTCTTATATTTATATGTACATTTTTTTTTTTTATTTTTTCCTGTCTCGTATATGTGTAACTCTGTTGAATGCTGCTACCAACGATGTGAATTTCTCCACTGTGAGATAAATAAAGGCATATCTTATCTTATCTTACATCTCATATTTTACTATTTTCTGTTTGCATCAACCCTTATACTTTTATAACTCTGTAGAAAACTACCTCCTTTACACATAATAATCAGATTTTAAACTGGTTCTGACTGAGAAACCCAGCAGACGAAGCAGCGCTTTGGACTCCTCGCTGCTGGTCGGGCCCTCCAGTGGTCTCCATGACTGCGCCGAGCCGCTCACCTCTCGATGAACCCCCCAGTCCAGCTCTGGTGGTGGGGAGCATGCCCCTACCAACAACAAAAACAAAAACACAGAGGTTCTGCCAAGCATACCCCTGCACCAGTGAACTGTGCAGCCACCACACCAGGCCCCGCTCCCCTCTGGACCCCCTCCCAGACCCCATGATCCCGGTTAACAAGCCAGCCAGCACGTTCCCCTGTTGTCATTCGTTACCCGCTGCTGTCCTCCTGATACGGCTCGCGGGCGGGGCCAATTAAACTCGCACGGTTCCCCACACCGGGTCAGGAGTTTAGTGGGTCATGGTCGCTGCGATTTTCACCCAGAGTTATCTAATCCTGATTGAACCGCTCTGACTGGACCAAACCAGACCGGACCGTCCACAGAAAATACACTCAAACATACGCAGCAGAGACAACTAAGATAAGATATGATAGGATAAGAAGATACGATACGATACGATACGATTTGATACGATACGATACGGTGACATGAGAGACCTTAAGATACAATGAGCTACGATATGAAGAGTTACAATACAATATACTGAGATACGATAAGATGAGATACGATACGATGAGATATGATGAGCTACGATGAGATATAAAGAGATACAACATGATGAGACATGAAGAAACGAGATAAGATATGATGAGAAATAATATGAGATACAATATGATATGATGCGATACAATGAGATACGATATGATGAGATACGATACGATGAGATACGATACAGTATATTGAGATAAGATGAGATACGATACGATGAGATATGATACGGGACTTAATGTTAAGCATTGCTAAGAAATGTTCATTACAATAGGACGCTTGTGTAACACGATTAATACAGCTTATCCCAGAAGTTACGGACACTTTAAGGCCTAATGCAGATAAACAGGAAGTCCGTGGCTCAGAATTAGCTGAGAATGGCGCAGCGACACACAGTGATGTGCATGAACAGTCTGTAAAGGAATGAGTCTAGGTTACCTTATTTGACATAAAATTATGCATATTCCAGTTGTTTCTGGCCATTTGGTGAACAAAAATGTCTATTGTACTTGAGTAAATGAAACCTTCATTAACAAAACTGTTAATATATATTTATATATATTTAAAATCCCCTTTTCTTATCATTTTACTGCAGAAAACTTCTTTTGGGGGCACAAACATGGACGTCTTTGACAATACGCCTTTTTCACAGCAGACATGTTGACCTCTCATAGCAGGAAAAACACATTTCTAACATTAATAATTACTAAATTCTGTTTTCCATTTAAGCCATGGCAGTGTGACATTGAACCACTACAGAAGTTTTATGATTCATTTCATTCACACCTTTACAAGAAAAATGTCTTCTGTCAAAAAAAAAAAGGCCTCTAATGCAGAAAACACACAAAACTAAGAAATTGAAACATCTGGTTAAGACCCGACAGTATATTTATGATAGAAATTTACCTAACAAGTTTAAATTTCATGGTTAATACACAACAGAATGTTTTATTATGTGAATGTATTTGGCTATTTTAAATACTAAGATGAAGACCCTACAATATCGTAGAAATTACTCATTTATCTACAGTTTTATCTGAATAACTCTGATGTTGAGGTTAACAACCTATAGAACCTCTTGTATTTGTTGTATACATTTATCTGACTAAATTAAACACTAATGTTAAGACCTAGGAATATATACATTTATCAGATTAATTTAACTGTTAAGCTTGGAAGCAGCTCCATTATTGAAGTTTACTTGAGTTATTTAAATATTGGAGGAAAGACCATAAAATAATAGTTTGTCTATACGTCAATTAGGTTTCAGACTCTACAATGTCATATAAAATATTCACCTAATACATTTGAAGTTTAAGGTTAAGACCATACAGTATTATTTATTATGCAAATTCATCAGACTCGTTTAAATATTAAGGTGGGACCCTAGAATATATCAATTTACCTGATTTCAATATTACATATGTATATGATTAATGTAAAATTAAGGCAATATTATCTAATATTTTAAAATAATTAAGGTTAAGAACATAAAATATCTATAAATTTATCCAAATATCTTTAATAATAAGGTTAATCCAAACTCACCTAACATGTTTAAATATTAAGGCTGTGACCCTATAATATTATGTAATCCATACATTTATGTGAGTAATTTAAACATCACGTTTACTACAATATAATATACACATTTACATGACTAATTTGTCTACTAGGGTAGGAGACGACAATTTCACATATTTACCTGAAAAAACAAATATAAAGGCCAAGGGCTCAACTGCAAAATCACACTTTTAAGACCATTTGATTCCATTTTTATCGTCAGACTTTTATTTATATGTGTAGTTGAAACAGAAATGTGTTGTTTTAGCAGCCAATCAGAGCGTTTGACAGGAAGAGTTGGTTTTCTTTTCTTTTTTTTTTCTTTTTCTTAAAGAAAAGATGATGAAATAGCAGATATAATGCATTTATAACAACCTGAGTGATTTAGTATAAATGTGAAGACTCTACATTAATACACATTCTACCAAATGATTTCACAGATAAAATGTGATCCAACTCTCATGAGCTCCAATAATTGTCTGGATCGACATAAAGCTGAGTAGTGTGGTGTTGCAGCGCCCCCTGCTGTCTGCTGTGTGGAGGTACATTGATATGACCTGCTGCTGACAGATGGCAGCTGCTGGACGGAATCATGTCACTTCATATGGGCCAGGCTGCACACATCACACTGCTGCTTTGATTTTTCATTTTATCTTCCTTTCTTAGTATTTTTTTTAATATCAAATGTTTTTATCCTGAAAGACAACTTTTTAAGGCTGTAAACAATTTTGCAAACAGAGCAGCATTATTGTGAATAATCCTACTTTATATAAATATATTTCCTAGAGTGAGTTTGGTAGAAAAACAGCTTGAGGCTATCCGTGTTTTTTGTAATATGTTAAAACGGTGTGAGCAGAGTCGGTTAATTGCAGACAGTATTTTTAGCATATTTGCCACAAGCAGGCGGAGCCAAGGAGGCTGAGATGGAGGGATGCTGCTGCTGCTGTTGCTGAAAAGCAGGTGGAGACCGCGGCTGCACTTTCAGAGGGAGGATCCGAGGGCGCAGGAGAGGACGGAGCTTCATCCTAGAGAGTGAAAATCACGTTAAATATCAGTGTTTTTTTTTATATTTTTAACCGCTGGTAGAAGATCCGCGCCCACAGGCTTTGACTGGCTGCGAAAGGCTCCGTGTGTCTGTCGCGTCGCTGGAGGCTGCGACGATGTGATGCTCCATGTTTGGGCCCGACGGCCGCAGCTTTCTCCCCGAAACCTGATATTATGCGGGGAACAAGGGGGGCTGCACGGATTAAAGGGGAACAAAGCACCGGTTTAGAAAACGTTTTGCAAACTGGCAGGTCAGTGGATTGTTTATGTGGTGCTGCAAAAAAAACAAAAAAACAAATAGCTGCAAGAAAATGTCTTTGCAGCAGCACAGCATTGAGCAGCATGAATTTAAATGAATACATTTTTAAAGACTGGCCCTTATTTGACAGCAGCATGTATTTAAACCAATGTGTTTTCAATATTTCACCCTGATTTGTGTGTATTGACAAAGTGTGACCTGCTGATGAGCAGCAGAAAAGTCGAGGCCTTCACTGTTTGTAACCAGGTGTGGAGAGCATAATAGATGAGTCCAGGGCTTGTTTACCACAGTTTATAATACTATATATCTGTGCTGTCTGTGTATTTGTAGGTTGATCGTGTGATCTAGAGTGAAAAATATTGCTATGAGTAATCAAATTCTCTCAGCCTAGTAACTCTCATCCAAAAATAGACTCTCTATTAAAGGACTGTGGTGTTTTTTGCGTGTTATGTCACGTCCCTGAAGGGAAAACGTCTCATCTGGTGTAAAATCAGTGAATATGTGCTCATGCATGCATGCATCTCTGGACCTGACCCTCCCCCCGCAGTTTCTCTTTAAGCTCTGAACTGAAACGCTGTAATCCTCTAATTGAAACCTCTTCCCACTATTTGATCCCCTCATGTTTCATACAATCACCCCCACCTCCATCGATTCCCTTCCTGTCTCCACCTGCAGCCAGCCATGGTCGACCCCTCGGAGGCTGAGGAGCAGAACAAGTGCAAAGGCCCGCACCTGGACCCGCCAGCTGTGGCCGCCGAAGACCCCAGACTGCCGGAACAAGCCGACGGCACCACGACGGAGGAAGATGGGGATGCCGGTTTTGAGACGCCGCCCACCGGCAGCTCCGAGCCGAGTCCGTGCCACGTTGCATCTCCGCCTGAGGCCTCCTCTCAGGCACCTCAGCAACCACAGACTGACAGAGATCCGTCTCCCAAGTTGCACCTGGACCTGTACAACTTCGACTCGCCGGCTGCAGAGGGAAGCCGCTATGTGCTAACAAGCCCCCGCTCTCTGGAGGCTTGTGCCCGATGTGGGGTCAAACCTGTGGAGCTGCTGCCCCGCCCGCTCGCCGATTTCGCCCGTGAGGCTCCGGGCCGATCCATGCGAGTCGCCACCGGATTGTTTGAAGTCTACGAGCGGGACAGACATGCTAAACTGAGGCAGTGCCGGGAGGAGAGGGAGAGGATTGTAAGGGAGGAGAAACGGAGGATTCTGCAGGCGGCGGTGAACAGCAGCAGCAGCGGCGCATCATCGACCTCCGTGGACAAAACTCCTTCGGGCTCCAGTCCTAAATCTCAAAGCTCAGGCCCTGATGCATCCTCCAGAGCCACCGCAGCTTCTAAAACTATTTTATCTAAGACTCCCGCCTCCACTCTTAGTACCTCACCTAAATCTGCCCATCCAGGATCTACGCCACCTTCAAAAACCAGTTCCACAACCTCCACACCTTCCTCCAGGGGTGGACTTCAAGGCTCAGCCAAACATCCTTTCTCCTCATCGTCCGAACAAATAAAAACCACCCGGCCGCTCTCGTCTGGTCCTCCGCCGGTGGTCCGCAAGTCTTCAGGCGGTAAACCCTCAAACACTTTCCCCAGATCAACACCCAAACCTCCCTCCTTCCCCAGAGCCAACACCACGTTGACATCCTCAGTGTCGAAGCCTGCAGTCCAGAGCACCGGGACGCCTCTGAACGGTGTAACTAAAGGGCCGTTTTCTCAGCACAATGGGCACCTTGGATTTCACTCCAAGGTGCGAGGAAAAAGCCATTCACTGGAGTCACTACAGCGAAGGGTAGATCCCATCTGTTCCTCAACCTCCACCACCACAACTACAACAACGTGCACCTCGTCTGAGTCAGGTGCTTCCTCCTCTTACAGTTGGGATGGTGTAAGAGATCACTGGGCTAAAGTCTCCAGTCCCCGAGCTCGAACGCTGGCCACCTTCAACTCTCTTATGGGTCGCAGCCTGAGCCTCGGCGACCTGAGCCACTCTCCTCAGACCACGCAGAAGGTGGAGCGCATCGTGAAGGAGGTGAAGCGCCGAGGCCTGAAGGCCGTGTCCGAGCGCGACCGCAAGATTGCAGCGTTGATGCTCGCCAGATATCAAGAGGAGGACATCATGAGTCAGACTCGGTACGTCGCTCACCTTCAGTGGGACAGCGAGCGCCGGATGGAGGAGCTGCGACGGGAGCAGGAGGACCGGGAGAAGCAGCGAGCGGTGCTTCAGTGTCAGCGAGTTTGGCAGACGCAAGTGTCGATACGTCAGCGACGGCTGAGCCAGCAGGAGCGAGAATCAGCAGCTGCCAAACTGCGACAGGCTGAGGAGAACGAAGAGCGATGGAGGGAGCTGGCAGAGCAGCAGGAGCGAAGCCGACTACTGAGGCTGCAGCAGGCGGCCAGAGAGGAGAAGCACAAGAAAGCTCTTCAGGAGCAGAACCTGAAGGCCCTGGAGGAGGAGAGGGCCGCCATGCTGGAGCAGGAGAGGCTGCTGCTGAAGGAGAAGCTCACCATGGCCGAGCTGAAGAGGCAGGAGAAGGAGCACCAGTCCCAGGAGGAGCGACGAGGCCTGAACAAAGCCGAGAAGAGACGCCACGCCGCCCTGATACAGGAAATCGCCCGCAGAGAGCAGGAGGAGCGTGACGAGGCCAGGAGGGCAGCGGAGGAGAAGCTGAGCCGCTCGCTGGAGAACTACGAACAGATTGTTGAGCGTCGAGGACTGGAGCTGAAAGAAAAGGCAAAGCGTGAGGAGAAGCAGATCCAGAAAGCTAGAAAGGCTGCGGAGAAGCGCGAGAAGCAACAGCAGCTGCTTCTAGAAGCTCGGGTGAAGGAGGCGGAGAAACGAGCCCAACAGGCGGCTCTGGTGGCCGAAGAGAGGGCCAAGGAGAAAGCCCAGCGAGCCATCCAGAGCCGGCAGGAGAAGGAGCGACTGCAGAAGCTCAACAGGCAGCGAGTGGAGGACGAGGAGAAGCAGAGGAGGCTGGAGCTGCTGCAGTCCATCGAGAGGAAGCTGGAGAAGAGCGAGCAGATCTTCAAGGAAAAGAGGGCGGTGCTTGAGAGCGCCCGGTCCGTCGCTCGGGCCTCCTTCCATGTTCGAGACAAAGTGCGGGAGGAGACCAACATGCGTACCTTTGATAAAATGGCCCTGGAAGCTCAGCTCAAAGCCAGCCTCGATGATAAATAAACCCATAGCTTTGTCGTGAAGTCCTTACTTCTGGTCATGTGCTCGGCTCCTGCCTTCATTATGGCCCTCATCACTCGACAGCTTTACCCATGAACACCCACAGTGTTATTTTCCCTGACATATCTTTACCCATCGGCTGGTTTTGAGACATTTTTGACTATTTTTATCATCAAAGCAACCAAAATCATTTTTGTATCATGGATGTAATGAGACTGCAAACGACATCAGCTGTTATAAACTAACAGTAAAGCCTGTGTGGTGTATACAGTAGACTTCATATTAGATGAGAGTGTAGAGAGAGCTGCTTTGTGCAGCAACACAACCCTTCCTCTCGCTTTCTCTTTGCCCTCTGCTCCGTCCATCTCAGCTACTGGACTTGAAAGCTGTGCTGGAATGAAAAGAGTCATTGTTTACCAGGAAGCACAACTCCATGACGACTGCGGAGGCTTTTAAAGCAGCGCTTTAAGGGATATTCAAGAAAAGGTTCTCAGCCCTCGAAGCAAATGAAGTATCCTTTTGTAAACCCACTGACGATGCCAGCGTAGAAGTGAAGCCCTGGGCTGGATGCATCTCGGGAGGGCCGTGTGCACGAGTCCTGTGCTGATGAAGCACCAGAGGACGCAGGTTTCTGCAGCAGGACTCTGGTTCCCTTCAAGGACTCCCTCTGTCTCCCCTCTTCATGTCAGATTACAGTAAACAGTAAAGACAGCCACCTTTCGACTCCCTCGCCGTCGATCTGCTCCCAACACAGCTGCCTGGTGACCGAGTCAAGGTCAACAGGTACGAGTTTTTACATCTTGTGCAATGCCTTCTGTTTGCCTTTTAGCTCTTGCAATTAAAAAAAAAAACAAAAACCCACAACAACACAGTGACCCCGACTTGACAGCACAGAGTGGAAAAAAAACATGCGAGCCAACAACAGGTTTTAAAGGCCTCTGACTGCACTAATCCTACAATCTCACAGATTTAAAAAAAAATAGAAAGGGAGATGCGCCCTCAGATGTAGCAGTTGCCATAGCGATAGGAATCAGGATGAAGCAGCGGGAGGTGGGTGAGTGCGTGGGAATACGAGGGGGAGGCCTGTGGGGAGGAGGCGGCTCTCTGGCAGCCTCATTCTGGCTGCTTCTTCGCAGGGAGTTATTGGAAATCACTCCACATGGGTGTGTTGTATGTGAGGCAGGAAAATTACTGCAGCATTCCTCCTCTTCAATCATTCAGTCCGCCAAGAGAGTGAGCAAATCTGCAGCAGTAGACTGGATCGAGCACATGTCTGACATTCTGCTGAGTTGAGAGGCAGAATGAATGTGAAGCGCAGCATTAGAGCAGCAGAGGCCTGACAGGCTTATGGCCGACTGAGCCGCCCTGTTCCCAGCAGCTAAACATGTCAGATGATGTGAGGTCGCAGGATGAGACGGCGGATCTGTAGGCGCTTATGATGTGGCTGAAAGGATGACGTCACCAATCTAGGAAAAGTTATTTTGAAATGCAGCAGCTGCAGCAAATCTACCAATGATAAAATGCAAAATTACAAGTATGACTGAATACGAAACAAAAAAGAGAAAACAATAGTGACATAGTAAATCTAGGGAAGTGAATTTACTAAAAAATGAGAAGCTCTTGTCATCGTTACAATTTGTTACCAGTCAGTAAAAGAAATTGCTTTGGCTGCATTGCTTTAAGAGCCCATATGATGCACATTTACAGGTTTATGTTTTTATTTTGGGGGTCTTCTACAATATGTTTATTTGCTTTAATGTTCAAAAACACATTAGCGTCAGTTTAATTTGCATGAAAAATTTTTGTGATTACAAAAATATTAGAGAAATTTTAGCTCGATATGTCAAATACGCCCCAATATTGCGAGATTTTTTTTTAAAAGCCGCTTATGATGTGGCTGAAAAGATGACCACATGATTACATAATTACAACTAAATGCTAAATTTAAAAAAAAGAGAAATCAGTAGACATACAAGCCATATAGGGAAGCGGATTATCTAAAAATCAAAGAGTAACTCTTGTCATAACTACATTTTGTCACCAATTGGCAAAAATAAAAAGAGCCAACATGATGCCCATCTACAAGTTTATAATTTTATTTTTGGAGTTTTCTATTATATGTGTATCTGCTTTAATGTTCAAAAAACATAAAAGTTTTAGAACAGTTTCTTCTCAACCATCTTTGATTTGCCTAAAATTTTAGGAGCATAAATATGGATATTTATATAAATATCAGTGAAGTTCCAGACTGACATATCGCTTTTTTTTTTCAATTTTTTTTCCCCATCAACTCCTTTTAGCACATTTTTTTTTCACCCAGTGAAATTTTAAGGTTTTGTTTGAATGACAGTATCTCAGATTTTAGTATTATTTCTTACCATTTCCAACCAGCTAAAACTAGCAAGCAGATGGCACAAGAGTGGCAAAGTGCAGCCACATTTTACAGTTCCACGTATACCTGCAACATTTTGCACTGCTAAATATGTCAGATGACTGCATCCATCTCTATTTATGCATCTATCATTTTTCCAGTTTCATAAGCTTATGTTTACATGTATTTGTGTGTGAGCCTTGTAGCCTTGTTGTTTTCAGTTGTTTTCATGGTATTTATCTTATGTTGGTCTGTATTGACTTTGAAAGGAACATTTGTAGAATGTGGTGATGCAGCATATTTTGTGGCTTTTAGACATGAGATAGTTTTAATGCATCACACTACGCTCCCCACCAACACTCTCTTTCCTGGATTAGTCCTCCAGATGTACTCAGATAATGCAGGTTTATGTGTTTTGGAGGAGTGACTTTGCAGGAAGCCCTGAAGGGAGGTGCTGGGACTTTTTCAGATGCATGCTGTTACACTGTAGCTCGCTTTTGCTGTTTCTATAATGCTCCATACATTGTAAATTAGATAACAAATGCAGTTAAGTTGGATGTTCTGAATTGAAGAATTTTAATTTACCATGAAGACAAATGTCAAAAGGTAGTAATGTAGTATACCATTTGAAAGGAGCATTATAGTATAACATCGTCCAAAAAACGTCACTGTATGGCAAAATGTCTTAGTATAGTATGTCATGACAAAAAGTCATAGTATACTATGTCGTGACAAAAAGTCATAGTATAGCATGTCATGAAAAAAAATGTCATAGTATGTCATCAAAGCACATCTGTCGTGACAAAGTGTCATAGTATGTTATGACAAGAAGTGATAGTATAGTATGTTGTGATAAAAAGTCATAGTGTAGTGTGTCATAGTAAAATGTCATAGTATAATATGTCGTCAAAACGTCATAATATAGTATGTCGTGAAAAAAATGTCAGCATTTAGTATGTCGTCAAAAAAGTCATAGTATGGTATGCTGTCAAAAAAAATCATAGTATAGTATGTCATGACAGCCATAGTATAGTATGTTATGACAAGAAGTGATAATATAGTATATCGTGACAAACAGTCATAGTATAGTATGTCGTGACAAAAAGTCATACTATAGCATGTCTTTAAAAAAAATCTTAGTATGTTGACAAAAAAGTTATAGTAAAATATGTCGTGATAAAAAGTCACAGTATAGTATGTTGTGACAAAAACTCATAGTATAGCATGTCGTCAAAAAAGGTCATTGTTTTGTATGTATGTTGTCCAAAACCGTCATTGTAAAGTCTGTTGTGGAAAAAATGTATAGTATGTCGTCAAAAAAACATAGTAAAGTATGTCGTGATAAAAAAGTCGTAGTATAGTATGTCAGGACATACAGTCTAATATGTCGTGATGAAAAGTCATAGTATAGTATGGCATGACAAAAAGTCATAGGGTGTTGTGACAAAAAGTCATACTATAGTTTGTCATCAAAAACCGTCATCGTAAAGTATGTCGTGATACAGTCATACTATAAATGTCTTCAAAAAAAATCATAGCATAGTATGTCGTCCAACAGCATATCGTCAAAAAAAACCCGTCATACTATCGTATGTTGTGACAGTCATAGTACTAGTAAAAAAAAAAGTAATAGATAGTATGTTGTGACAAAAAGTCATACTAAAGCCTGTCTTCAAAGAAAAAGTCATAGTACAGTATGTCGTCAAAAAAATGTCATACTAAAGTATGTAGTGAGTCATCCTGTCTTCACAAAAACAGTTACTTCGTCAAAAAGCGTATCGTCAAAAAGTCATACTATAGTATGTCATGACAGTCATAGTATAGTATGTCGTGACAAAAAGTCATGGATAGTAT